GAATCAGGGAGGGAAAGAGATAACAACCACTTGCTACTGAAGATAAATAAAGATAGACAAATATGGATATACAGATATAGATAGATAAATAGATTGATAAGTAGGTAGATGAATGGATAAACAACAGAGAGAGAGAGAGAGAGAGAGAGAGAGAGAGAGAGAGAGAGAGAGAGAGAGAGAGAGAGAGAGAGAGAGAGAGAGAGAGAGAGAGAGAGAGAGAGAGAGAGAGAGAAAGAGATAACAACCACTTGCTACCGAACATTCTTGAGCGAGTGAAGTAGTATTTCTCAGCACACAATTTACGAGTAAGACGAACATAGCGTTGGTAATTTATTAAAGCTATAAGGACTCATTGCAGAACCGGCACCATGTAGCGTTTCGCTGTTTGGGGCCACAGGGTTGCTTGGCTCACTTTCTTGTTGTAAATGTTTACTTTTGGAGGAACAGGTAAGGTAAAGAGTAAGTGAGATCCCCAGATTCCCTCCTCATGACAGTGTAAAAGGAATGCTTTCCTGTGTTCCGGTTAGAGGAGACATCCAGTCTTAATGTCATGGTTGTTTTGGTTCCGCACAGAAAGCATGTGTAAACCTGTAGGCAGTTACACCTTTAATGTTACCATACTGGGTATGGAAACTCTCCTAATATTCTGATTTACTGTGACTGAAGTAAGAGATAGTTGAACTTCTGCTTGTGAGATGAAGGATTGAGGAGGCACTCAAAGAGGAGGGTGAGCGATCCTAATGATGGCACACTGAAATGTTCTTAGTACACACGCGCGCATGTGTATGTGTGTGTATTTGTATGTGCATATGTGTGTATGCATGTGAGCGAAATTTAGCATCTGTGTGCGCTGGAGTGAGTGTGTGTGCGCACAATTTTTTGTGAACCGGTGCTCAATATCCTGTAAGATTTTAATGCAGACCGGCGGGTACAAACAGAATAAGAAATGGGCCAATGACAATCCAGGCCAGCCCTCGGGTCCCTGCATCTCTTCTCGGAAAGGGTTTGGGATCGCTCGCCTTTGCTTTGCGTCGCCTTGTTCTGCTGGAAAGGATCTCTCTCGCCTTCTCAAAATCATATTTGCTACTGCTTCTTCACCGATTGCTGGTCGTTAATTGGTCTCCAAAACTAAATAATACATTTCCTATTTTCACCAGTGCTTTGTGACACTCTTCCTTTTCCAGCGCTGTGGTCATTACCATTATGCTATGCACTAGGGATTAGAGACTTTGGCACAATATTTCCTAGAATGATGCATCTGGGTATGGTCGAGGCATAATGACCGCGCGCGTAACCGGTAGACAATGAGCAGCAACTTGCACCGAAAGTCGCGAGCGTCTCTTCCCGGACGGGCTTGCTGTAAAACTCTTCGAAGCAGGAAAATATATTGGAAAACGGAATGTCCAATTTAGGTAAGCACAGTCGGGGAACTGGAACTAAACTTTTGATTTGCTTCACGCATGCACTCAGATCTACGCTCATCATTCCTACAGGTAATACTGAATATTCGCTTTAAAGAAAGATGGGTTGTGATTTTTATGGTTACGGTCGTTGCAGAATGGATCGCGTAAGCCGTAAGTGACCACTAATTCTTCGGGAGACCAGATTTAGGGGCTGTAAAACTTACCCGGCTCTAGAGATCAGGGATTCTACCAATGAGGGCGAATCCTTCTAATTTTAAAGGACGTGTATTGTCATTTTTACTGCATAGCAACAATAATGTCCTTTATACTCCGTTTTTTATTTTTTTTTTAGATGCACTGGTTATGGTTGTTGTGACGTCTCTAGAACTACACAGGCTGAGCGAGATACAATACAAAGCCCACAGAGCAAGATTTATAAGGGGAGTAATGACAAGAGTGGCTGATCGGTGCGAACGGTTTATCCGATCACGAGTCCAAAGGCAGAAGAAATAACAAGGGCAGCGAAATGTTTCAGTAGGAAGACAAACAAAGAAGGGAACAATCAACAAACGGGGAAGAGGAGTTCGAGGGAGGACAGGCAGCTTAACAAATCTGCTGTCCATTCTGCCATAATGGATTGTGCTATCAGTGTTCGAATTATTTTGATACTCATGTGTGCGTGCGAGAGAAAAAGAGAGAGAAAGACAGGGAGGAAGATGAAGAGAGAGAGAGAGAGAGAGAGAGAGAGAGAGAGAGAGAGAGAGAGAGAGAGAGAGAGAGAGAGAGAGAGAGAGAGAGAGAGAGAGAGAGAGAGAGAGAGAGAGAGAGAGAGAGAGAGAGAGAGAGAGAGAGAGAGAGAGAGAGAGAGAGAGAGAGAGAGAGAGAGAGAGAGAGAGAGAGAGAGAGAGAGAGAGAGAGAGAGAGAGAGAGAGAGAGAGAGAGAGAGAGAGAGAGAGAGAGAGAGAGAGAGAGAGAGAGAGAGAGAGAGAGAGAGGAGAGAGAGAGAATGAGAGAGAGAGAGAGAGCGGACGAGAGAGAGAGAGAGAGAGAGAGAAACTGGAGAAGAGAGAGAGAGAGAGAAACTGAGAGAAGAGAGGAGAGAGAGAGAGAGAGATGAGCAGAGAGGGGAGAGAGATGAGAGAGAATAAGAGAGGGAGAAGAGAGAGAAGATGAGAGAGAGAGAGACGCAGATGGAGAGAGAGAGAGAGAGAGAGAGGAGAGAGAGAGAGGAGAGAGGAGAGAGAGAGAGAGAGAGAGACGAGTGAGAGGAGAGAGATGAGAGAGAGAGAAGATGAGAGACGAGAGAGAGAGAGAGAGAGAGAGAGAGAGAAGAGAGGGAGAGAGAGAGAGAGAGAGAGAGAGAGAGTAGAGAGAGAGAGAGAGAGAGAGAGAGGAGAGAGAGAGAGAAGA